GTCAATAAAAAAAATTTAAAAAAGAAGAGAATCCACGGAGGAGATGCAGGACCTGAAGTCTTGGGCTGGAAGGAGAACCGGTTTTCCGCTGTCACAAGACCCTTAGTTCTGTGCCCTGGGGAGCGGCCTCTGTTCCTTAAAAGATGGGCTGCTTTTTCGAGTGGCCTGTCCCCCGACTAATGATTCCATGGGTTCAGAAATGATGCCTTTGGTGTGGCTTTACTTTTTCATTCTTGCTCCAAATCCTTTATTGTGAACGTCTTCTTCCCAAGTGGAGAACGGACAGGCCTCCATCTTTTCAGAAACCTTCATAAGCCGGCAGGTTGTTACTGAGTTTTCCTTCACTCCGGCTTCTCTGGGCTAAATCAGCCCCGCAGACCTTGAGCCTTTCTTCCTGGGTCTTGTTTTCTTACCCTTTTATCAGCCTTGTCATTTTTCTCTGAGAGGCTCCAAACACTCTGTTCTCTGGGACATAAACACAGTCACTAGATGAGTAAATGTCAGCTTAAGGACTGAATTCTAAAATGAGTTTTAGTCCAAGGTAGAGCTTGTAATAGCTCCCAGGAAAGTTTTTTTTTCTTTTAAAGCACTCGTCCAAATTGCTATCCAAAAAGCAAACACAACATCATGTACACACACACACACACACACACACGTGTGGTGGCGAGATTGCGTTATTATGCACAGGGAGCTACTTCTGTGCCTGTTTTTCTGGGGACAGTCAAGTCATGATAAATGGTCATGGCACTTGGAATGTTTTAAGCGCCTGCATTTTATTTTTTATATAGTTTACTTTGGTGACTGTCTTTTGGTAATTCCTGTCAGGGTTGCATTTTGGAAAATTGCAACCATCTCCTTGGCAGTACTTTAGAGGAAAATTCTAGGCATACAGCAGGGTGAGGGCCAAGAAGCCTGTCCCCATAAGTGAGACAGTGAGGTCACTATGGGTGTTTTTTTTTTTCAGGGATAGGGGGAGGAGTAAAGTTGTTTGCTAAAATAAAATACCGTTGATGTTTGAATGAACTTTCAGAAGCACAGAAAATCTTTCAAAAATCCAAAGACAAAGGGAAAACGTCGATAGATTTATGCCTTTGGCAGGTACATCCAGATACGTAGTTGTTTTGCAAGAGAAGGGTGAGACTGGGAGAAAGTTGGGGGTTTCAGTCCCATCAGTAAAATGACCTGACACGCCAACCTTTCATTCTCAGAGGAAGCACAAGCAATGAGTGAGTATTTTCCGTAGCGTACGTAAAAACTAGGTGAAAATTAAAAATTTTTCTAAGACATTTGATGAACCTCAAGATTTCTCATTCAACTCATCAGGGGTCTTTAAAGCACAAACACTAAATCTACTAAAAATGCCTAAACTTTTTGGCAAGGGTGATTTGGTTCTGGTTGAGGACATAGCCATTATTCTTAACAGGCTCTGCTCTATTCACTTCTTCTGAAGGAGGGACCATGGAAACCTCTGAGCTAAGAGGTCTTAAGCTCTTGTCCCCAAGAGTTAGAGTAAATGGATTCTTTTCCCTTGTTCATTTAAGTATCTCCAGTGCTCCTTTCTTTTAAGACCACAAAAACTTCTGAAGGAGAATTGCTGTGGTATACTCAGGATAAAGGATTATATAGTACTGCTGTGTGGGTTTACCATTTATCCACTGTTTACAGAGTTTGACATCTTCAAATAAAGACATGTGAGAGAGAGAAGAAAATTAAGTCAGAAAGAGAGATCACCAGTTACAAGGGGAAGAGGGGTCATGGTGGTTGGAGATGGTTCTATCAGGAATATGTAGAAAGGGAGGACAAGATTAGATTTGGCTGTGAGTGACAGAAAACCCAAAGTAATGTGGACTTACATGACAGAGGAGTTCATTTCCCTTTCCTAGTAGGGTCCAAGGATAGGTAGTCTAGGCTGAGGTGGTGGCTCCAAGATCATCCTGGCTCCTTCTATCATGCCTTTCTACCAACCTTAGCTTGTACCTCATGGTCCAAAATGGCTGCTCAAGCTCCAGCCATCATATTCACCTACCAATAAGCAGGAAGCAGGAAGAAGAAGAAAGCTGCACACTATTTCCTCTTTCATCCTACTTGCCAGAAGTTAGTTTATAGCTGTGTCTGGTTGCAAGGGAATCAGGGAGATATAGTTTCTATTCTGAGTAACTGTGTACCTAGGTAAACATCAGAAGTTCTATTTTTAAAAAGAGGGACAAGAGTTAGTCTGGATACCCATTTTTTAAAATTTTTTCTTTTTATTGTTACTATTTTGAGGGGAGGTAATTAGGTTTATTCACGTCTGGAGGGAGTTCTGGGGACTGAACCCAGGACCTCGTGCATGCTAAGCGTGTGCTCTACCACTTGAGCTACACCCTTCCCCCTGGATACCCATTCTTAAGGAGAGAGAAATACTTTCCTGAAATCCATCTGTAAATTACAGCCATTCTAGAGTTCATTTAATTAAATTTTGAAGTTAATAACAATATTAGTAATTTACCCATTTTCACTTACTTAGAGGGCACGACTTTGAGGATTAGAAGCACATCTCTAAAATGGCTGACCTCTGTGCACCCTCTCCGCTCCTCTTTGCTGATCTGCCTGAGCTGGGATGCTGTTCTGGGGTCTAGAAATCAAACAGCATCTTTCTCTACAGCTCTCATCAGCCGCTCGCTTGCACTGCGACGTTGGGCCAACCCTCCTTGCTGTCTGAACCTCAGTTTCCTCTTAACTAGGAAGTTCACAGTAATGCCAACCTCAAAGGTGAAATTTCAAGTGCACCCGAGGGACGGTGGTGAACGTGTCTGTTCTCTGCCCTGAGCCCTCATGTCACCCTTAACCTAATGCCTGCAGAGCTGATAATAATAGCAAACATTGGAGTCTGTGCGAAGCCCTCCACATAATCCACACAACGTCCGCATTTGGTAGAAAAGGATAGAAAAGGAGCCTGCAGGTGAGAGAGGCTAAGGAACATGCCAGGGCCACTCAGCAGTGCAGTGACAGCCAGCTCCCAGCCTAGTTCCAATACTTTCTGGAGCCCCAACATTGAAGCTCTCTGCTGGGCGATAATAACAAACACGGGTTAAAAGTCTCCTCTCACTTTTCAAACCTGTAAAAAATTTCAAAACTCTCACAGTTTTCTCAGCTCAACTTGGAGGTGATCAAGAAGAAAGTCTGATGTTCTTCGAGAGCACATGGCCGTACCTGTTAATGGCTTGGGATGATGTGTTTATAAATTCGACATCGGGGAATAGACAAGGATATTACTGCTTCCTTTTGTTTGTGCTTTAAGCTGTAATTAAGGATATGGAACCATTTTTAAAGGGAATCTGTGTCTGGTGCAGCCATTTTTTTTTCCAGCTCCACTGGCGGTTTACACACATGAATCAGGGAATACAGGTTTTTCTCATGACCCGCCCCCCCCCCACCACCACCGACGGGGCCTGTGGACCAGGGCGTCAGTGAGCACGCGTCTGCAGAGCCTGCTCCTCTGCCCTGGGGCCGATTCATTCTCAGCATGGTGCTGTTGCTCCCACTCTGATGTATCGAGGCATCCGCTCTCTCTTTGATCACTGGTATCTTGCTACCACCTGAAGCCCCAGCGGGAAGCATTTCTCCCCACACCCCTGCTCCGTCCAGGCACGTCATTCCTCCCGAGGCTTCGGGAAGTGGCTGCAGAGGGAGATTGTGGGCCTTGGGGCAACGGCTGGGGGTGGGGGGGAGAGAAAAGGCACCCAAGTTGGCACGAATGAGTCTGTGAAGCAGAAACTTGCTTGCTTGTGCCAGGCCAGATGGTTGTTTGTTTCGTGTCTGTTAGAAGACGCTAAGCTCCACGGCCGTGGGGCTCCTTTAGCTGAGTCTTCTGCCTGAGTACAGAAGAATAAGACAAAGAAAAGAATTTGTCTTTGCTTTCTGGGTACGGGACCCCACGGCTTTTTTAGATACACTTTGAAAATAAAGTCGTCCAGGATCTGAGCGCACTTCAGTACCCACTCCTTCCGGGCACCTCCTGTCCTTAGGACCTATGTTTCTGACAATCGGGGTGAAGTTCTCACCTGGCACAGCACACAGATCTTGCTGGATGCCTGGTGGGCGCGTGGCACTGAGCGGAGGGTGGGGTGGTCGACGGCAGTCCAGGCCCCGCAGAGGAGAGCCAGGCAGCTTTTTTGCAGGCTGAACCTGTCTCAGATTTCGTGGGATTCCTCTGGGATTCTAGACGTCATCCCTTTCACCCAGGCACCAGCTTCAGCCAAAGGCAACCATGTCTTCACAGCTGGGCTGGATTTCTGCTGGAAGCTTTTGGCATCAGAAGATGAGCTATTTGCTCCATTACCTTCCCAAGGACCAAAGGCGATGATCCCTTCCTTATCTTTGTGTAAGAGGACTGGCCCGATTCTAGGAGTCCCATGGTAACATCACCTCCAGCCCAGGCCGTAATGAACAAGAGCCTGGAGAGACGGGTGACCATGCTCAGTGCTGGTAAAGCCAGCAGGGGACACTCTCACTCTCCGAGGCAGGAGGAAGGACCATTTCCCACTCCCTGCAGGGCACCGGGCCCCAGCCTGCTGCCCAGCTTTGCCAATCACTAGCCGAGTGACCTGGGGCAGGTTAGTGACTCTCCTCCACTCTGTGTCTTGCTCTGTAAGAGCAATATGAGGGTGAAATGAGTTGCTGCATGTAAAGGGCTGAGGGCAGTGCTTGGCTCAGTAACTGCTCTGATTACTCCGAGTATCCGGGGGAAATCAAGCTCTGACTGATGGGCCAGAGGTATGCTTCGCCTTGAGCATGTATTTTTAGGAATTAAGGACATATGCTGGAGTAGATCAGTCGGACTCTAGGACCTGAATCCCTACTAAGGACCAAAGGGGATGATGATACATGAGAGAAAGTAGCACATGGTAGGGCCTGGGGGTAACTAACAGAGCAGGATGAAGCTTAGGAGCAGGACACTGGGCTTTGAGGTCTAATCAGTCAAAACTTGTATGACTTCTCCCACTCATTCATTCATTCATTCATTCATTCAACAGACATTTATTGAGTGCATACTGGAGGCTAGACACCGCGCTGAGTCCCGGGCTCCTGTGATGAACGCAGATCAGCTCTTTGAGCTTCTGTCCTAAGGGAAACTTGGGTGGGGAAGGGGAGGCAGGTCACGGAAAGTAAACAAATGTAAGAACAAGCTCATTTCAGAGAGTGGCTGGTTATCGACTGCTGTGTAGCTAACCACCTAGGACAGAGTGGCTTAAGACCATCATCTGTGTGCTCGGGATTCTGCCGTTTGGCCAGGGGCTGCTGGGGACAGCTCCTCTTGGCTCCGCGTGGCATCAGCTGGCTCACTCGTCTGGCTGGCCAGCTGTTGCTGGCTGCTGGCTTGCGGCTCGGCCGGGGCCACTGAGCCGGGCCCTAGCTCTCTTCCACGGGCATCTCAGCGGGGTTTGTTGGGCTTCTCACCGGGCAGTGGCTGGGGGCGGTGAGGGAGCTTTCCAAGATGGAGACCCACCCACGGGCCCGGGCAGGGGATGGGTGCAATCTGATTGGGCAATTGCAAAACCTCTCTGTCCCTCTCTTTCCTTCATTCACAAAATGAGAGGCCTGCCTGAATTATCTCTAAGGCCCCTTCCAGCTAATATTCCCAGAAGAGAACCAGGTCTTTGGCAGCAGCTTTTCTGGATTTGGGTCCTTTCGACTGCGCTTTCTCACCTGTAGAGCAATGAGAAGCAGGAGAGGTCTTCCTGGATGCTTTACGAGAAAACTTATTAACGAAGTGGTCCTTGGTACGGTCTCCAGATGGTTGTGTGAGCTGTACTGTCAAGCACGCATTGTGTGCACCGTGGATGTGAAAGGCAGCTGCTTAAGCAAAGGCTCCTTTGAGCAAGAAGAAGGAATATCAGTCATCAAAAAAATTTCAGAAGGCACAGTTCTAGTCCAGACAAGACCAGCAAATAAACCAAATTCCAGCCAGCTAATGTTACCCCATGCTCTTGAATCTGGAGGGGTGGTGGTGGGGGCAATGGAATTGAAGTTTTCTTTGGAACTTAATTAGATCGAGATGGTTGATAATGCTCCTTAAGGAGGGAGCTGAGCATTTAAAATTATACCAAAGATATTTTTCCCCAGGTATCTGTAAGGGGAGCCGTGAACCTATCAAAATGTGTGATAAGGAAGCTACGTGCGTCGTTTTCAACTAGTTCAGACCAGCTAGGCTGCTCCCTGCTCTGAGCTGCTGGCTATTAGCTGTCATCTAGCCTGGATATGAGACAAGCAGATGGATAAGAGAGACATCATCTCGTCAAGACCTGCAGGAACAGGCAGGCAGGGTGCCTATCACCGGCACCCATCTCCGAGGCAGGCTCAGGCTCCAGCACGAAGCACCAGGTTAGATGGGCTTTTTCATTTCAGTGACTTTTTTTTGGAAAGGTTCAAATTTATTCCTCTCCCAGGATAGAGTTATTTCAGTTGCCACTGATCCTTCCGATAAATGAGACAGGGTTTCATTTTTTTCTTGCTACCAAGGTATCTAATTTTATAAAAGCCTTCAACAATGCGATAATTTATGGTAGCAACAGGATGGCTACGTGTAAGGACTTGTCTACTTTCTATTAATTTTCTAAAGGAATCTCTTCCCCTGGCCACTGAGAAGCTGTGCATGCCTTTCTCTGCGGGTTTCATGAAGACTGTTTGAAGTCATGATGGCAAGATCATTACAATGTTTTTGAAAGATAGTGGGTTTCAAAGAGTTGTACTTAAGAGACTTAAAAAGCTTCATCATCTTAATTCCTGTCCTCCGCCACTTTTTCAGAGCTGTGATCTGGATATGCAGTAATTGGTATCATCTTCCATACAATCTTGCCCCCAACTTGTGTTGTTGTCATTACTCCTGCTCCTCTTCTGAAATGACGCAAGTAATAGGAAATTATAAAATAAGTCAGAGCCTAGAATCTTCTAAGGAATTCAGAACCAGTGTAGAAATGGCTGTATCCATGTGCACACACACAAGTGGGGTTATTGTACACTTCCTTACAGAGCTGGAAGCTGAAGCAGAGGATTTCTGTGATAAAGAGTCTAGCTTACATAACCGTTTCTTACAGTCACGCCATGGCCATGCCAGGGGTAGGGCTGGTGTGGTCGTAAGCTAGGCATCAGGACAGGAGTTAGTAAAAACTTTTGGAAATGTTCCCAGCTTCGAAGGATGAGGACAGAAAGGAAGAAGGGAAAAGGAGGTCCATTCTAAGCCTCAGGTTGGAGCCAGACAGTTTGGGGAAGAAAGAAATAATTCTCACACGTTTCTAAGTTTGAACTTAGTGTACAAGGAAGTGTTATATTTGCATTCTAATCGTTTCAGTCTGTGATTGAAACATCTAAAGACTCCGTTTTGCAGAGAAGTGAAGTCAGAACCCAAAGTCGTCAATTAACTTGTTCAAGCTCATAAAGAAAGACCACAAATTGGGATGAAAGTCAGGATACTGCTGGTCTTGGCTTAACCAGCTGGGCTTTTTTGCCTGTGCTGGTGGGGGTTAGAGAAGAAAAGGTGGCTGGTGTGCGTGGCGTGAACTGGGGGAGGAGGGGCTTTTCTACTTGTTGGGCAACCTGCTATCACATCCAGGTAAGGGACAATGAGGGCGCCGGTGCTTCAGCCACGGTTCAAGCCCATCCAGGGTATGTTACGTAGGAGGTCGCTCTAGACCTAGGACTTGGCAGAGCAGGGTAGACGTGGCTTCCCCAGCCAACCGTGTTACCGATTTCTTAAAAGACAGGCAGTGAGAGGAGATGTCAATAAGGGGCACACAGTACAAGGGATCACTCTTTTGTAGAAAAAACATTTTCAACAAAGGGCAAATGAATTACAGATTTTACCGGGAAACTTCCTGCCTGCTGCTCAGGAAAGTTTAAAAAACTCAAAGCAGGGGAATGTTGCAGGAAAATACAACTGAGGAAGAATCTCTCCACTATGCAGGCGTCCTTAAAAATATCTTGTGCCCTTTGTGACATACAAACTTCTGACGTTGCTAAATCCACTCCTCTTAGCCTGATTCACTCGCTTTTCCACCCAAACTCCTCTCGGAGCCATTGTTTCATTTGGATGAGGGCTGTGGCCCGGCTCCCCAGTGGGCTACTTGCGTAGAGCTGCTTTTTTTTTTTTTTTAATTTGATTCATCATATATTCACATCCATTTAAAAAAGTATTTTAAATTGAAGTATAATCGGTTTACAATGTTGTGTTCCCTTCCGGTGTCCAGCATAGTGAGTCCATTACACATATGTATGTGTTCTTTCTCATATTCCTTTTCATTGTAGGTTATTACAAGCTACTGACTGCTGTATCTTTTTACAATCTGCTTTTAGAGCCCATCACTCCTTAATCAAACCTTGTGTGCGATGCAGTGGTCCGGGATTGGCCCCTGGTGAGGTGGAAGGCTGCAGGCTTTTCCATTTGGAGCGCAGAAAGTTGCGGCTTCATCGTCTCCTCATTTAAGATGATAGGCTCTGGAAAGAATTTTTTGAATGAGAGAGAAGCAAAAAATACTATGTTGTGCAGTGCTATTTTTGCTTTTAAAAACATACACTCTCAGACACACACAGTGGACCGTTCTGGAAACATATGAGCTCAAATCAGAGCCAAGATCTCCTCTGGTAGGAGCCCTTCCTACCCGAAAGGGACCGCTTGTTAATAGCTGTATTCATGGAAGTTAAAATTAAATTTCTGTGTGTTGATGTAAAGCCAGCTTTCCCCTCAGGGCTATTTATTTTAAAAATCTAAAATGGTAAGGGGTCTGCAGCATATGCCGTAACGTAAGCGTACTGGGGTCTGTGCTCCAAGCAAAGCCTTCTTTGTGCTGGCCTCTGCGATTTAATGCCCTCCAGGAGGGCCCTGGCAGCCCCCTGGCTTCTCCTTCAACACGTGGCCAGCTCAGACAGCTTTCAGACTTGCCCACAAGGGCAGTTGTTTAAGACTCTCATACCTGGAGGTAAAGACTGCAGTAACTGGCGCTGTCCCTGATTGGCCACCACGGGACGGAGGGCTGGGGGAGGGAGCGGTCGTGGTCGTGGCAGAGTTAGTGCTGCGTGCGCGATCGCTTTTCCTTCAGGGTCCAAGGTTGAGATCGATGCTGTGCTTTAAAAAAAATGTTTTAATCAAGCAAATTCTAAGAGTTAAAAGCGACCATTTAAAAAACAAGAGGGGAGGAGGCCATTTCTAATAACACCCATGAATAAAGCGGGGAAGTGGCACATATACACGCAAAGGTTTAAAATGTAGATTTTCAAGAGGAAGTTGGAGCAAAAGGCAGTGATCATAGTAAGTGGTAGACAGCAGTAGTAAGTAGCAGAAGGCGTGTGTCTTCCCAGCTCCCTTGGAGTAAAGGAGTAAGCAAGACTCCTTAAAACGTCTTTGAAAGATCCCAGAGCCTTTTCCATTATGGGATAAAAAGAGTAAGCCACGGCGGAAGCAAAATGGGTCTAGCATAGACCTCAGCTTTGCAATCCCAGCCGATACCCCCAACCCCTAGCGCCCGCCGCGTAGTTACAGTATGTCTTTTACACCTGATTCTCCCTTGATTTCTATGCTTGAACTTTTTATTTTACCCAGAAGAAACCTATATATATAGCGGGAAGACTTGCTTCTCTCCCTTCTCAGAAGTAAGTCATGTTTATTTCTCCCTTTGCAAATAGCACTTAGGAAACTTAACAGACGAGGTTTTGGGTAACAAGCAGTAGGAGAAGAGAATATTAACGAGCAAGTGTGAAGTGCCTTCCTCCTGCTGGTGGGAAGTATGTGTCTTTTTATTTCTCCAAGAATTAGTAATAACTAAGTGCTCTCTTCCTGTTGATTGCTTTACTCAATTGCCTTGGAGTGTGGATTTCTGTATTGCCACCCATGTGTCTTCCTAAATCCCTTTGGCAATGCCTCCAGGTGGAGGCATTGCATTTGCACAGACTGTCCACAGTCTTCAGCCTGCAGCCTAGGTAAAGTTGTGCACGAAGAGAAAAGACTCTCTTGGGGTGACGGCCTCTACAGAACCCAGGTTTGCTCTCCCTGTTTTATCTGAGAGTCTTGTGTTGGGAGAGAAAGAAGCAGCCCTCGTGGTGGTCGGCTTTCCTTGTCCTTTGTGTCTCACTCGGGACCCATGAGTAATCAGTGCATTGTACAGACAGCAACCTCCGCTTCTTTGGGCAAATTGAACCAAGTTGGAGCTATGAAAGCAGGACCATAAATCAGCTCCGTTACAATGGTAAAGTTCTTGAAAGCACCTAAAAGCCCTGTATGCATTCCTTCTGGTTAATGAGCAACGAGGTAGATCCTTAGTCGCTGGCTTGATGGAGGCCAAGTTAGAACCAGAAGATGGATATACAAAAATCAGTCACCCAGAAAAATCTAAGCCACCCAAAGAAACACAGCCAACTTCAAAGGCCTCCTGTGCTTTCTCTTATACAATGCTTTGCTGGCTGAACAATCTGTATAAAAAAGCAGCTGGGTCTTCCGTGGAACCAGCTCTTAGAACACATTTTGCGCAGTCTCTATCAGAGGGGACTTTCTCTTAAAACTTGTCTTTAAATCTTCCCCTTGAAGTGTCGTGTGGATTCCCTGTGACATGATACAAAGCTGGCGAGAGCCTCCTCTTCTCCAAGTTTGGAGGCACCAGGGTTCTCCTGTTACTCATTTTCTTTGATTCCCAGATGTGTTCATAGCAACTTGTTCCTTCTTTAGCCGTTCAGGCAGGATGAGACCCCACAGGTTTTCACAGTAGATTCTTGCTGGTGCACTGAAACTCTGTAGGAGTTTTTCTTTCTCTGTGAGATGATATGACCCAAGCTTCTGAAACAGAAGAAAAAGTGAAATCAAATTAAAAAGCAAGTGCTCGATCCGTTTGATCTTTTTTTTAAAATTGTTTCTAAATAGTCTTTTTCTTTTTCATTGAAGTATAGTCAGTTACAACGTGTGAACTTCTGGTGTACAGCACAATGTCCCAGTCATACATATACATACATATCTTTGTTTTCATATTCTTCTTCATGAAAAGTTATTGTAAGATAAGGGGTTGAATATATTTCCCTGTGCTATACAGAAGAAATCTGATTTTTATCTATTTTTATATATGGTAGTTAGTATTTGCAAATCTTGAACTCCCAAATTTATCCCTTCCCATCTCCTTTCCCCCTGGTAACCATAACCATTTGATATTTGTGTGTGTGTATTTGTGTATAATTCCAGTTTCTTGGTCTTCTTTTATCACATTTTTTTGCGAGCTTATGCATAAGTCGTGTGACTTTAAGTTCTTTTAGTTTTCTTTTTAGAATGAATTCTTTTGCACTAATTAATTTCTGGACATAACACATCATACACATTCCCCCGAATGCCACCAATAACATGGGGACACATTAAGCAGTAACCAAAGTAACACATAGATTTTTTTGGCTCTTCTGAAAAACAAATAATCGCCCCCAAAAATGTATGTATCACATTTGAAAAAAAGCATTTACCTAGAGTGATATTGGTTTAATGACATTAAGGAAATGTGTTCAATAGTTTTACCTTCTAAAATGCGTGGCCCTCCTGATGTTTTTCTGTTTACTGAAGGGACATGCTCTTAATCTGTTCTGCACAGAAAGTGCCCCGTGCAGTTCCATGCTGCAGGCGACACGCATGGCTGGTCCCTTAGTGTCGTCAGTTGCCAGCCATGCTGTTTCGGCTTGTGCCTCCCCCTGGCCAGTGCATACTGATGGTCTGAGCCAGTGATACGGCTGCCGCCGCAGTGGGCTGTTCTCTGAGCTGCCCTTGCTTCATCCTCAGAGTTCAGGGTCTGCTCCTCCTCTCTCAACCCTCATGTAAAAAGCATTCTCAAAACCCCCTACAGAGAATCCAGCTTGGCTCACACAGGCATTCAGGAAAGGCTGGTTGCCTAACCAGAATGATACTTAACCTGGGGTCCTAGACTCTCGAAAGTCCATAAAGGGAGTTTAGGGTTGCAAACCACCCCTGACAGGCGTGGTTTTGTACATGCAGAGATTCTTTTAGCAGGGAGCTGGCTTATAGGTCTCAGTGGATTCTCAGAGGAGTCTGAATCCTGCCAAAATTTCATCACCGTCAATTGCCTACATCCAATTTTGTTGTCTCGTCCACTGTGTAGATTACATTAGCACAATCTATCTAAAACCTGCTCTTCATGTCTTGTACCACAACCCCAAGCTTCCAAGCCTCCCCTTACCTGCAGGACGAGCTACACTCTTGCCCTGGCTGCCCTCCTGATTCCATCGCCCAGCAATCTTCTCCACATCCGTTCCTCCAGGCTGTTCTGCTCGTGTTTCCCCAACATGCCGTGCAGGTGTGCATCCTCACCTGCCTTCTCTCATCCCTTCCCCACATTCTGATCCTGCAACTCCTTTAAAGCCAAACTCTTTCATGAAGACTTTTTTCCATCAACCACCAGCCTCACTCCTGTTCACAAGCTTATACCATCAATACACACTTGAATCCTAACTCTCTCTTGCAGTTTTACTTATTTCATATAAGTAAATTAACCTTTAACATATAATTAACCTTTCACGTGTATGTTTGCCATTCCAAACTGGATTGTGAATTCCTTCAAGACAAAGGTTCATTCATTCATTTGCTCAGCAGACATTTATTGAGTGTCTTCTGCTGATGGGGCACTGAGCCTGGTGCTGAGTTTGAGCCCCCGCTACACTTGACCCAATTCTACACACAGAAAACATACTCAGTGAGCACTGAATGAATGAATGAATGAATTTGGGTTAAATCAAGCCATTTCGGGAGTGCTTGAGAACCTCTGAAAAGAATGCACAGCTAGAGTTTCTCTTGGTTTCTGGAAACAAAGCAGAACACTCAGGCATGGTGGATCTTAAAATATAACCTTCTGGAAGGACTCAGTAAGTCCCAAGCAACAATGTCTTTCCGCATCCAGGGAAGACTGTTTTCTGCTGACTCGGCACCATTCATGGCAGGTTCCTGGCTTTGCTGGCTCTCCTTGGCTTTTTCTTTCCCGAGGATGGCTGAGCGAGCACGGGATCCAAGCCCACCCTTCCAAAAGAGCTTACAACTTACAGTGGGGAAAGAGCAAGAAAACAGGAGTTCTTTCTGCCCACCAGCGCTTTCTAGCATTCTCACCCCTTAGGGCCCCACAGCTAAACTCATCTTTTGGACAGTGTTCCTGCCTAAAGAAGCCCACCTCTGGGGACAGGGGATGGGGTCGGGGGGAGTGGCGTCTGTGCAGTCGGGGGTCGAGTTCACCCACTTTCAGGTGGGCACGGGAAGTGGGTGCTGGATGCGCATGGCTTTTAGAGACTGCTTTGAAAGCCCCGAGTGTTTGTCTTGGCTGGCTCCATCGGTGGCTGGGAACCTGCCACGAGAACTGGCCAGGAGGTCAGTTTGGTTTCCTAGGTCTTGCTTCTGGGTTTGGGATGGATTCTGCTGCTCTGCTCCCTTCAAAGAGGGGACACAGCCCCTGAGACTTGCGGGCGGTAGCGAGCCAACTTCTGTAAGCCACATCCTGGAGGTTTGGGGACTGGCCTCCATCGCCCGGGATTCTGTTCTCTTTGGTGCAAACCAGGATCGGAGTGCTGGCCCTGCTCAGAAGGCCCCCGAAGTCTGCTGTTATTCCTTCCCACCTCCTGCTCCCTCCTGCCAGGACAAACAAGAGAGTGAAACAACTTTGCTGCGGGACCTCCCTCAAGGCAAGTGTGTGCCGGGAGAGAGAGAGAGGGTGTGTGTGCATTTCAGCGTATCTCTTACACCTTAGGCCTTATTTCTTCTGAACATTTTTTTGTAGAAGTCCCCTGCAGAGATCCTGAGAAACTGCTTTCAAAGTAATATATTAAAAATACACTGCATCACTGCTGGGTTGGGACCGCCGACTGCATGTTCCATGCTGAAATGGGGAAAAGTCACCTTTTACTCATTAGAAAATGGACCGATTGAATATACGCTCAGCTGCCTTTTAATTTTATTGTGGTGAAAATACACATACTCTCAAATTTACCATCTTAGCCGTTTTACTCTGAACGATTCAGCCACACTTAGTGCTTCCACAGGGCTGTGCCATGTCATCGCTATCTGCTTCCAGGGCATTTCTGTCACCCCTAAAGGAAGGCTGGTGCCCTTTAAGCCGTCACCTCCCAGCCCCCCTCCCCCAACCCCTGGCAACCACTGATCAGCCTCTGTCTCCATGGATTTCCCTGTTCTGGATATTTCGTATAAGTGGAATCAGACAATTTGTGCCCTTTGGTGTGTGTCTTCTTTCACTGAGCACCAGAACGTTCCCAGTCTCATCCATGCTGTGGCATGGGGTGGAATGTCATTCCTTTTATGGCTGAATAGTTGTCCTATGTCTGGGGGTTGAAGTTGTCCTCTCTCCCTCAAGCTTCCAGTCCCACTCCCATCTTCAGTCTGGTTCGAGAACTTCTGAAGTCTTGACTCATCTGAACTTGGTTCCTCCCGACTCACTCCCCTCCAGTCTGACCGGCAACCCCCCAGCCATGCCTGGGAACCAGCTGCCCCAGGGCCCCCTGAAGGGCCAGCTGAAACTGCAGCTTCCCAGCCCCACTCCACGCCCACCGAGTGCTCTCTCTGGGGACGGAGCGAGGAAACCTAACAAGCTCCCTGGTCGCTCTGCTGAGCCCACGTGAGCACCGGGGCTGTGACACAGGGCTGGCCAACCCCTCTCAAAGCCCAGGCCTGGACTCCTGCAGCTCCAGAGTCTGGGCCTCATCTCTGCCTCCACCACCGGCTGGAAGCCCAGCTCGAATGCCACGCCTGTGATTCGGGAAACCTTCCTCAACTTTTGGCCTGAAACCATCTCTCCTGGACTACGTGCTCCCTGAAAGCAGGGTCCAGGTTTCTCTTTGTATCTCTTGAATAATACTCATTTCCAGATTAAGATCATTCAGTGAGCCCTTACCTGCAGGCACCATCCTAGGTGCTTCTAATCAGTCAACGAATTTAACCTTCAGGATACAAGTGAAGACAGTGTTGCTATCCCCAAACACCGGGAAGAACTACCATTTCCAGGAAAATGCCGGCGTGTGTCTGCCCAGTGACAGGCAGAGATCGACCCCTCAAGCCTAAATCATGGACGGGGCACCAATGAATGAAGTTTGTGAAAAAGGCTGTCCTAAAGTCACGGGGAATAAAAACGTGTCAGATAATGCTGGTAGGATAATAATAATTTAAAAACAAATATTAGTAACGTCGAAGGAAAAGATGCATCCACGCCAAGCTAAACTTTCAGTCCCTGGCAGGAGACCCGCTCTGTCCCCCACTCTGGGCTTCCCCCCGAGCTGGGTGAATTCCTCTGTGCCTGAGGCTTCCTACATAGAAGGTGCATGTCTTCCCTCCTTCCTCACCTTATTCACTTTTCTCAGTCATCCTGCACTCAAAGCACAGGGTCTGTGCCATTTACTATGATAAAGGCATAAGTTAATTCATGTGATTGAGCGCTAGTACCGTGGCCCCAGTGACACGTGGCTCCTGTGGCGCCTGTGGCGCCTGGCCAGTGGGCTAGGACAGGCCTTAACCTGTGCCAAGCAAGTAATGTTTAGGAGAAAAATTGCAGCTTTCCTTCCTACATAAGCCAGCAATTCCACCGCTAGGTATATCTCCCTAAAGAATCGACAGCGGGGACTCCAGTAGATCCTTGAACGTCTGTGTTCATAGCAGCAACGCTATTCACAAAAGGTGGAACCAACCCACGTGTCCATGAAAGGATGACTGAATGAACAAAATGTGGTGTTTCTATAGAATGGAATATTATTCGGCCTTAAAAGGCAGGGTATAGCTCAGTGGTAGAGTGA